GAGTCAGTGGGATAAACCCTAATACTCATCAGGAGTCAAGGTGTCAGAATTAGCCCTAAGTTTGTGCAGTTAGCCCCAGTTGTACAGGGAGCTACTAACCCAGGGGTCTCCAACCTTTTCACACACAAGATCACTTTTTCAATTTAAGTGCAATGTAAGATCTACCTCAAACCCAAATACCCTTGCCCTGTTTTCTTCCCACCCTTTTAAGGCCCTGCCTCTGCTCCACCCCTTCTCCAAGGCCTCCCCCTGCTCACTCCATCCCCCTTCCTTCCCCATCCTCACTCACTGTCACCAGACTGGGGTAGGGGGTTGGGGTGCAGGCTGTGGTCTTGAGCCAAGGAGTTTATAGTGTGGGAGGGGCTCCACACTTAGCCCAGGGTGGGGGATTGGGGTCCAGGAGGATTTTCAGGGTGCAAGCTCTGGGAAGGAGTTTGGGTGCAGGGGGACTTACGTTGGGGGCAGGAGGTTGGGTGTAGCAGGAGATTCAGGGTGGGGACAATCAAAACCCCAAAATAACCTACTTTTCAAGCAGTAAAAGCAGTAACAACAACCCCCACATGTGTGTTGGATCAGGATCTGAGAGGAAAGGACAGTGCATGGTTGTAAGAATGACAGACACACACACAGTGTGTGAGAATGACAGATTTGCATTGCCAACCTCCCTCCATCTCCTTCTTTTTGTGTGGAGATAGGTACAGATGTGGGGGAGGAAGGACACCCTCATATCAGCGCCCCCCCTCTTCTCCCTCCCACATCCTGCACAGCAAGCCGGAGATTCTGTCAGCCGGTGGTCAGGGCAGTGCATGTGTGTTATACACCTGAGTCTTCAACTGCTGGGACACAAGGTCCCGTCACAGTGGGTGGCCTTAGGGAAGGCCGATGGGCGCCCCAAGAAGTTTTATGTCCGTGTCTTTGACCGCTAGGACCGGGGTCCCTTCATGTCGGGCAGCCAACAGGCTGACAGACACCCCAAAGTTTACAGGGAGAGCTTATTACACCTCAGACTTTGACTGCTAGGACACATGATCCCTTTGTAGCGGGCAGCCTAGGGAAGGCTGAGAGATGCCCCTATGGATCTGTCCTCTGGAAGCGACACGATCCAAATGCTCAGCTCTGCCTGTATCTGTCCCTTATGACCGGCTGGAGTTCTTTTAAATTGTGCTTGGTTCTGTTACAGCAACTGAAGGAGTTGGGTTAAAGCTTAAACAGTTACAGGTTTATTAAGAAAGCTTATAAAGCATGTGGTTACAATGGCTCTTGCTCTACCTTTTAACTGCTAGCAAATACAGATCTTAAGATGGTTACAAAGGAAAAAGGAAGATAGAAAATAATGGTACCAAGTGACAGCTTAATCTTTAAAGAGCTCTATTCTATGCATGCACTAGAAACACAAAGGACACATACGGGTACAATTTTTACTCCCTTCTGCATCGCTTGATTCCAGCTCATTAGGCCAGGATCGGTCCCTCAATTCCTCGGAAAGACGAAATACGAGGTGGGCGTCCCTGTGGACCTCGGGAGGCAATGCACCTAACCCGACCAGCAGGAAAAGGGTGGATTGGCACTCAAAGTGAGTGTGCTGCTGGACCCATCTTTATACCCATGGGTCACGTATTTCTCTTTCTGATCTGTGATGCCAAATGGTACTGGCGCCAGTTCTTACAAGGGAGTTGTGAACTTAATTTACACTTGTAAGAGAGCTAACTGAATTGGGAGTACTGGAGATTTTCTCAGTGGGAGATTCCTCTCCCAGGGACGGCTGTGTGTGATCGTATCAATATAGGTGCCAGCCAGGGCAGTTCTCGCAGCCTCGAGGACAGCTTAATGACTTGATCGCTCTCTCTCATATCTATGTTTTCAGCTTACCCAGGGTCAGATGAGCCAGCATATCCGGGCCTCTTGTCAAGGCTTCAAAGACTATGCTGATTTTATTGCTCCTTCTCTGCCCTGTATGCAGGCACCTCAGAAGGGCAAACAAGATGGATGTGACAGAGGGGGAGCCTGTCTGGCTGCAGGCTCCCAGGAGGCAGCTCCAAGGCAGAGGGCAGGAGCAGCCAGACAGTAGGTGAAGGGGCAACTACAGTGCCATCACTTGATAGCTTCCGGGCCAAACCATTCAGGATCCCCTGTCAGAGGCTCCAAGATCTACTGGTAGATCGCGATCTACTGGTTGGTGAGCATTGTACTAACCCACTAGCTATAGAAGGGTGCACGCAGATCAGCATCTTGCACATTTCAATACAAATGTAAAACAGTCGTGGGGATTAGAAAGTGCAAGTTTGGATATGAGACCAGAAGCTGGCAGGTGGTCCTGTCGTTTTTATGGACGATTTGCCAGGGATCTCAGTCTGACAATGTGGAAAATTACTGCAACTTTGAATTTTCAATATGCCTTCATCTGAGATTCTCAACACGCTTTCCAAACATAAAGGGCCTCATTGTGTTTAAGCCGTGACTGTGCAGGGGAGGGGAAGGAAGTATTGGCGAGAGAGCCAGGGAGAACACGTTGCAGCCACAGCTCCGCCACCCTTTCAGTGGATGCCACATGGGCATCCTCTACTGCAGGCCAAATCTGCTGAGTGGGCCCCACGCCCTCTTTTTAGAACCTGAACGAGAAGGGCCAGGGCCTTGGCTCATCTGTCGGCCTGTGCCTGACCTTGCAGAGAGATGCAAAGGTGGAGGAAGACTCCTCGCACTCCCCTCTACCTTGTCCCCCTATTTTTGCAGCCACACTGGACGGACAGCAGGGAGCTATTGTTATGCTTAAACAAAGCACACAAGATCTTTTATGGGGAAAAGTCAGTACACTGCATTTATTGAGAATACAACAGTTGCATATGCTTTTGAATCACACACACACACACACACACACACAGAGTCCCACCAGACGATATTATAGTTACCAGTCCAGAGTCTGTATAAATCTAGTGGCCAGTTAGATCGATCACAGAGGGAGAGCAGAGCCTTTCATCAGTCGAGATCCGATGCTCATCTGGAGTTGGTGGCAAGACGAACCCAAAGTTCCATAGCAAGGCACCCTGCTTTTATAATCCTTTTCTCTTTTGAAGTCTATGGATTCTACTGTGTCAGTCTGTGACTGGCGTGTTATCTTGTTGATGTCATTCATTCTCAAAACATTTCCAAAGTGCATCCTGTAATCAATCATCTTGTAGGGGTGCTTGCTTCACTTTAAAGCTGTCAATCTGCCAACTCGATCACTCCTTGGCCATGGGTATGCACTGGTGGTAACTGATGGTTCTTCTGACGCCGATCAGTCTGTTTTCACCCATGCTCACCCCTCCTTCTTTGGCCATCTGGCAATAACTTTCGCACCTTTATCTCAACACATACGTACCACTTCCACACATAAATATCTTTTAAAAGGCCTTTCGAAGACAAGCTTAACATTAGTATTTCATATTAGGCAAAGCAAGAGGCATTGTAAATCATACAATAAAAACTTCAGCCTTCAACATCCCTCTAGTCTCATTAACATAGACACAATACCAAAACTCTATTTCCTTACTAACTAAACTCACTAAACTTTAAAACAAAAGGGCTTACTAAAGGGCTTAATTTAAATGTGATAATATGTTACCTTATATTGCTACATTATTAAACCTAAAAATACAACTATAAAAAGGGTAAAACTTTCAATCTCAACATTTTGGCTAACCGCTAAGATACTGGTAGGCATCCAAAGAGGCAAGAAGGGCCAGTGGGTTCAGCTGAGTAGAAAGGGAATCAGATCTGTGGATAATTATGGAAGCAAAGATGGATAATGGGACAGGATTAACATTTTCAGGATGACAGATGAGGGTGGACATAACCCAGGGCAATGCCAAAGCAGTGGGAAGACAAGAGGAAAAGCAGCAGAAGGTAACACAAAGCTGTGCTGGCCCTTTTCATGCAGAATGGGTCGTGCCGCCCAAGTGGCCTCAATCAAACCAATCCTGAAATAGAGGCACTGTGGGGTGAGGGGTTCAAGAGATCCCCATAGATGGAGGAACCACTTCCTGTATGGAATGAACATTGCCCTGTAAGTAGCAGTTGCAGCTGACCGTGGGCAGTTGGTCGGACTGGGTTGTATTTTAGGCCTGTATCTCAAAGGACCTTAACAAATGCTAAGCTGCCTTGAAAAAGAAACTGCTGTAGATGTCAGGACCCTGTCTGCTCAGAAACCGGCACTTCTTCTTCTTTTCTTTTCTTTTCTTTTCTTTTCTTTTCTTTTCTTTTCTTGTGCTACTCCTTATGGATGAAAGAACAATGTTTTTGATTCAAGGGAAGCTGGGTGCGCTTGGGTTTTGCCATTACTGTGTCTGAGGAGATGAATTAACAGCCCCAGGGAATCACACCTAACCACTTAGATCTGTTGGGAACTTCCCAAGTTGGGTAACCTGGCTCTTTTACACGAGGAAAACACAAGCAAGGAGATGATTTCATGCGGTCGCTCCTGTAACCCGCTACCTCTCCACTGTAGGTCAAAGAGAGCTGAGCGCAAAGGTGGGACTAATGGCTTGAAACCCGCAAACTAAACTGAACCCAAATCACAGATTCAAGCTTGAGACAATCACACCCTGTACCTTGCACCACGGTAGCCTGCATCACACCATGATCAGTCTGACGTGGCTCCGGAGGAGCTCTGCTCCCTGGAAATATGTTCCCCTGCTGCATGCCCGTACAGATGAGCTCTGCTCCTGCCCCCCACTTGCCATTCCCAGAGCGTGGGGCCAGCATGACACTTCACTGAGGAGAGTGATGGAGGATGCAACAGTTCCAGTTTCTGAAAACAATTCCCATATCCTTGCTGTACCAGCTTCATAGCCCCCGGGTGGAGGTCACTCCTTTTCTAACAGGTTGAAAGGGAAAATGTTTGGTGATGTCTGTTGAAAACAAGTGCACGATAATCCACTCACCCGTCTCCAGTGTTCCTGTTCCAGCGAGCAGAGGAAACTCTCCTGCCATTGCACATGGTACATTATGTAACTGGAGAGGCACCTCTAGGGCTCATTTTACAAACCTTCTCAGAGTGACGTGGGCTGCAGCTCCCTGGGGAGGACAGCTGACGTGCCCACCATTGCCCTGGCACAGGGGTTCAGCATGCACCTACAACAGAAGATGGCTGCTGATAAATCCCCGTAAATAAGCTGGGGTGAGGCAGGAGCTACATACATCACAATATGTGACAGACCAGTGCAGCCCCCGCTCCTTAGACACGTCCCTCTGCTCTCTCCCTATCGCAGTGGGGCAGCTTTGGCAACAAGCCCCCTCTCGGTTGCAATGCAATCCCCTCTGCTGAAACTGCAGAGTATCGACTCTGGCACCCTCCCTTTTCCTGTCTGAACAAAGTGCATGCTGTGTGGAAGGGACACTGTCAAGGCCGATGCGCCTACAATCAGACCTCTCTCTTGTGTTAGCTTTTAGGCACCCCACGGGCCCCTCCTGCACCGTTCCTGTGATCACACAAGGTCTTTGCACCATGATTTCACTCTCCAGGGTGATAGCGTTTTAAAGTTAGCAGCTTCTCGAGGCACTGGGAAGGAACGGAATCTTTCAGACCCAGTCAGAACACCCAGTCAGACTTCCAGGGAGTTCCCTAGCTGGAGCTCCCCATTGTGCCTTTTCTCTCTCATGCCCTCTCATGAGGGCTTCTAGGAATGCCACTGGAAGGTGGGCTCCTCAGGGAGAATACTGAGCCCCATAGGAAAGAAGAGACAATCACTAGTCTGAATGACATGAAAGCCAAATGGTTCTTCAAGGGTTGTTAACGATTTTTTTTAATGCTGACCTAGGCAGCTCCCCTCATGGTCAACGTGAGCTCCTTTGCCACTGCCAGCTACAAGAAGAAGCTCTATGTGATTGGGGGAGGCCCCAATGGAAAACTGGCTACGGACAAAACACAGTGTTACGACCCAGCTGTGAACACCTGGAGCTTGAAATCACCTATGCCAGTGGAAGCAAAATGCATCAATGCTGCAAGTTTCCGGGACCACATCTATGTTGTGGGTAGGTAAAGCAGTGATGCTTTTTCTCCTCTGGGCTCATGCAGCTTGTTTTTTTATTAACTCCAAAAACCTTATGGAGAAGCACAAATTATCATTATGCTTGTTTGGGAGCTCGGGGTAAGGGGTTGAGGTGGGGGATCAGGGAGGGAGTTTGTGTGAATTAGGGGATCACTAATTAACCGCCCCAACAGACTGAGGAGAGGAGGGGGTGCAGGGTCTGGGAGGAGAGTGTGACCTGGGGTAGAGGTGCAGGGGTTTGGGTTGTGACCTGGGACAGGGGTTTGGGGTGCAGAGTCTGGGTGCAGGAGAGGATTCTGGCCTGGGGGAGGGGTGTAGGAGGAGGGAGTGCAGACTTTGGGAGAGGGTTGTAATCTGGAGCAGGAGTGCAGGAGGGGATGCAGGGAATTGGGCTGTGACCAGGGATAGCAGATTGGGGTGCAAGGTCTGGGAGGGGGTTGTGACCTGGGGAGAAGTGTGGGAGGGGATCCAGTGTCTGGAAAGGTGTACGGGGGCTGGAGAAGGAGTGCAGAAGGTTTGGGTGGGGGTAGGGAATAACCATAGAGGGTTGTAATCTGGAGCAGGAGTGCAGGAGGGGATGCAGGGAATTGGGCTGTGACCAGGGATAGCAGATTGGGGTGCAAGGTCTGGGAGGGGGTTGTGACCTGGGGAGAAGTGTGGGAGGGGATCCAGTGTCTGGAAAGGTGTACGGGGGCTGGAGAAGGAGTGCAGAAGGTTTGGGTGGGGGTAGGGAATAACCATGGGGT